GTATTTTTAAAAAAATCGAATATAATTGCATTCATTACAAGAATTTTATCAACATTTTTTCAAATCATTGATTTCTTTTAAATAAATTTATTAGAGTTTTTGTAAATAATAACATTTTTTTGAAGAATTTTATTAAATTTCGTAAAAATAATATAAATTTTGAAAATAATTTTAATTGAAAATTTTGAAAATAATTGTAATTTACAAAGAATTTTATTAGTAACTTTTGAGAACAATTGAATTATTTAGAGAAAATTGTATTACAATTTTAAAAAAATAATTAAACCTGTTAGAGAAATTTTATTAAAATTGTATTGAAAATAATTGAATATCTCAGAAGAATTTTATTATTTACAAAATTTATTGAATTGTTTCGAAGAATTTTATCTGAATTTTTGGAAATAATTGAATTTTTTCAAGGAATTATATTAAAAATTTTGAAAATAATGATTTTTTAAAAGAATTTCATCAAAATTGTTAAAAATAATTCAATTTATATTAAAATTCTTTAAAATAATCGATTTTAAATAATATTTTTAAAAATAATTGTATTCTTTCGATAAATTTTATTAAAATTGTATTGAAAATAATTGAATTGCTCTAAAGAATTTTACTATTTATGAGAATAATGAAATTCTTAAAAAGAAATTAAATTAAAATTGAATTTTTACATATTTATTTAACGAAAATTGACAGTAGATATTTAGTAAAGTAGGGAATTCTAATAAAGTGAAAATCCTAAAATGTGTATAAAAAGAAGAATAGTAATAATTGAAAAATATAAGAAATAAAGTTTGACATTTAGTTGAATAGTGTAATAGAATTTTAAGTAAGAAAATAAAACTTGAAACTAAGTAGTATAGGTCAATGTTTAGTCAGACAATAATTAATACATAAATTACAATTTAACTGAATATTGACTAGAAGTACTTATTTTAAAATATATACATTTTTATTTTAAAATTAGGTGATTCGATTCAATATTTAGTCCGGGCTGGTATTATTTACAAATTTTTTTTGTCCAACTGCATATTGGCTAAAACTACTGAAATTGAAATATAATTTCTTGTTATGAATATTTCTACATTCAATTTTGTGACAAAAAAATAATTTTTTACTTTGAGTTAAGTAGTACAAGTCGATAGATTTAATTAGACTCGAACAATTAATTAAAGTTCTAACTTAAGTAGTTCTAAACTTAATTAAGCAATATTTAACGATTAGTCTGTCCATGTGTTGACATGAACTACTCAATTTACATGAGGAATAGGTATTAACTGTTGAAAACAAATTTTCGAACTTAATTTAAAATATAAATAATTTTCTACTATGACTTAAGTAGTTTAAGTCTATATTTATTCAGACAAGAACTTAGATAGTTTAGAAGTTTGAGCAATATTTTTCACTTTTTTGTCTGATTAAATATTGACTGGAACTACTTAATTAAAATGAAAAATAATTTCAAATTAAGTAGTACAAGTCAAGGTATAGTAAGACTAAATAACAGAAGTGAAAATCAAACTACATTATTATCCAGAAGTACTGAAAAACCATAATTATTTACTTTCTAGTCTCATCAAATATTGACTTCAACTACACATTTCTAATAAAAAAATTGTTTATTTAAAAACAAGTAGCTCGAGTCAAAGATTTAGTCGAACTCTACAAACAGACTGAATATTGACCTAAATCACTTTTTTTAACATAAATGGAGTACAATTTAGTAGTAGTACTACAAGTTGCAATCCTATTTTTATTAAATATTAAAGAATTAGAAAAAATACTATATTATCAGAATGTAAAAAAATATATTTAATAGAAAAAAGAACATAGATAGATATTATAATTTATAATTTATAATTTATAAAACTATAGACTTAAGCTTTAAAAAGCAGAAATATTTGCTATTTGGCAAACGATAAAAAAAATTATTTCCTTTTTTTACTTAAAAAAAAAAATATATTAAATTCGATGATAAAACGTATAGAAAAACTTTGTTAATAATTGTACTTTTTTTATTTGTAAAAGTTTCGTTACACTCTCGTGGGAAATATATGTGGTACAAAAAACTGTCTAATTGTCTTTAAAGGACTGTCATCCATTCTTCTGATAAAGCGTATGACATATATAAATACACACACTGTATATATATAGAGATATATATGTATCATAAAAGAATAAAAGACTTTCCAAATGTTCATTAATCAAAGGCCACGTGGAGAAATTCGTGACATATTTTTTACATTCTGTAATAAAAGTAATACACACAAAATGCTTTACCAGTTTCGAGAGAAGACAAAATAAAAATTTCTCCCCTTTACAAAATGCTGTTATTATATTTTTTATATATTGTTATATCTACTTATACTTTTATTATTATTATTTTTAATATTATTATTACTATTACTATTACTATCATTATATTAATATTTATTGTATTATTTTATTTATTTTATCCATTTGTAAAATAGATGTTAGTATTTTTTATTATTATCATTATTTATTACTGTATTCTCCATTATTATAAACATTATTATTATAATTTTTATATCATTACTGCAATATAAATATTTGTATTTTGTACTTTTTTTTAATTGACATTTTATTTTATAATTTATTATTATTACTATTATTGTTATTGAAACTATTTTCGTATTTCTTTTTTCGTTATTAGCATTAATAATATTATTTTTGCAATTAGCCATAGACGACGAACCTTTAGACTTTCGTTATTATACTTTTGTTAAAAAAAACTTTAATTTTTTTTTTCAATAAAATATAAAAATTTTTTATATAATTTGCGATATTAAAATCACAGTTTTCTTAAAAGTATTAAATTATTACTAAAGATTATCAATTTAATACTAAAATGTAGATAAAATAAAAAGTGTTTCTAAAATTTTTGTATCAATTTAGTATCAATTTAATACTTTCAAGAAAACTGTGCTACAAAAGTTATTTTTATTTACAAAATTTTTAAAGATATTTTTGAAAATTAAGAATTAAATTATTATTTTATATTATAAGAATATTGTACTAATTTCAAAATTATTTTCATCATTTTAATTCAATTATTATTTTTAAGGATTTTACACTAAAATTTTTTTTTAAATCAATTAAATTTTCAAAAAAGTTCTTCTACAATTTTCAAAATCCATTTATTTACAATATTCAATTTTACAAATTTCAATTATTCGTAAATTCTTCAATTAAATATATATTTGAAAATAAAAACTTCAAAAAATATTTTAAAAATCAATTACACTTTTTAATGAAATTAATTTTAAAATTCAATTATTTCTAAAAATTGACGCTATATTTCTTTTAATATTCAATTATTATCTAAAATTTTAACAAAAATTCATTTCTACATCAATTTTTATTAGAAAATTCTACTAGAATACAATTATTTAAATACAAAAATAAGTAGTTTATTGAACAGTTGAATGTTTCTCAAAATTCAAATTCTCATTAAGAATTTTATGAATAAATTTTTAAATATTGAATTCTTTTAATGAATTTTAATAAAATTTTTAAGAATAATTACATTTTCCGAGAAATTTGATTAAAAATTTATTAAAAATAATTGAAATTGTAGATTGAGTTTTATTATTTAATGACAATATTTGACTTCATAGAAGAATTTACTAATTTTTTACATAATTAAATTTCAACGAAAGATTTTTTTAAAAAAGATTTTGAAAAGAAAAGATTTTATTACTCTTGAAAACAATTGAATTTCTCCAAAATTAAATATTTTTTTAGTGTCAACGAAAATTTTTCTTTAAATCCATTATTTTTAATAATTTTTTAAATAGTTTTTTGAGAATTTTTAAATTCATTTGTTTTTAACTGAAATTAATTTTTAAATAAATTTTTATTATGAAATTCTACTTGAATTCCATTATTTAAATACAAAAAATAATTAAATTATATTGTGAAGATATTTATAAAAAATTTGTAAATAATTGAATTTCTGGGAAATTATTATTATTTTATGAAAATAACACCTAGATACTAAAAATCATTAAATTGAGGAAAATTTTTGAAAATAATTGAAATTTTACCAAGAATTTTATTAAAATCTTTGAAAATAATTGAATTTCGGAAAAAAATTTTATTATTTATAAAGATAATTGAAATTTTGACAAGAATTTTCAAAAATTTTTGAAATAATTGAATTTTTGCTAAGAATTTTATTACATTTGAAAATAATTGAATTTTACAATTATTTGTAATTTCTCTAAAATTTTCCAAATTATATTGTATAATTTACGATCTGTTTGTCCTTTTTTTTTTTATCAAAAAACGGACTTTACGGACTGAAATTTATTTTCAAATCAGTATATTTATTAGAAAAATCTACGGGAATTCAATTATTTAACTATAAAAATAAATATTTTATTAAACAATAAATTGAATGTCTCTTAAAATTGAATTTTCATAAAGAATTTTATCAACTAATTTTTAAATAACAGAATTCGTTTGACGAATTTTAATAAAATTTTTAAGAATAATTACATTTTTTAAAAAATTCGATTAAAATTTTATTAAAAATAATTGAAATTCTGCGATGAGTTTTACATATATTTATGAAAATAATTAAATTCCTAAAAAGAATTTTATTATTCAGAAAAATAATTGTATCCCTGTAAAAATTTTATTATTTAGAAAAATAATAATTGAATTATATTGCAAAGAAATTTATAAAAAAAAATTTGTAAATAATTGAATTTCTGTGAAAATAATAGATATTAAAAATCATTAAATTGAGAAAATTTTTTGAAAATAATTGACTTGAACTACTTAATGTACATAACAAAATTTGTTTCTTCAATTATTTTACTGTGAACAAAAATTGTAATGTTTGTGGTCCAGAAGTTTTGATACAATTACAAGTACTTAATTTTTAATATCTTTTCCTTAGTTATTTATATGTTTCCTGTGGAAATAAAAATAATGATTTTATTTAACAATTTCTTCTCATTTTTTGCTTACAGATTTTCTACAAAGGAATCGGCAACGCACGCTATCGTTGCAGTGCACAACACTGATATCAATGGTCAGACGGTGAAGTGTAGTTGGGGTAAGGAAAGCGGAGATCCCAACAATGCTCAACAGACCGGACAGGTAAATATACGAGTTGCATCCCTATATATATATGTATATATAACTATATCTGTATAGCTTTAGTCAGCGACCTTAATCCTTGACGTTAACTCGACTCACGAGAGCACACGATTGTACCCCATTGCCCCTATCGAGGTTTACGATTATCGACCACCATCTTTCCGTTTTCTTCTCTTTTATATATATAAGGTACAGGAGAGAATCTCCAACCTCTCGTAAATCGAACTTTGTCAGGGATTCGCTTCCTTTTCGCCAAAGGGAACGACAGAGAACGAGAGAGAGAGAGAGACAGAGTGAAACTTCCACCACCTGGACGCGAATCTTCTTTTGCAATGTTCACTTTCAGTGTTGGTGGGGAGGGGGGACAACACACAATGGGGCGAACTCGGGAATTATATATATATATATATAAAATGTAAGTAATCTGGACTCAGCGTCCATTCAAGCCGAAAAAATCCTAAATTGAGACCTCGCTTTCTCTCTAAGGAATTGTCGGGGAGTAATTCTCCCTACTTTATGGAATTTACCCCTTTCGAAATCCCAAGTGACTTCATATATGTGTCCTATAGGGAAATTTTTTTTCTCTCTCTTTTTTTTGTGTGTGATCGATTGCATTTTTTGCACGTAATATTATTTATTCTTCTAAATATTATTTTTTTAAATAAATTTATTTTTTTCCCCACTTGAAGAATTTTTTAAAATTTTTTTACAATCAATTTTTCAATCTAAATAACCACCACCTCTCTAAAAAAAAAAAAAAAATTATCAGCGATATTTTTTGGTATCAGTAGGGAAGTCAAGATTTAATCAGACAAGGACATTTAATCTGCATGTAATTCTGTAAAATATAAAAAAGATTTTCGTGAGGCAAAACAATATTATAAACTAGGAGAATATGGATATTAGGGGAAAAGGCCACTTTTAGTCAGACATATAATTTAATTTGCATTTACTTTTGTTAAATAAATAATGGAAACTAATTTTTTCAAACATCATTATGAGCATAATTTCAAAATAAGTATAACAGTAGTAAAATCGATATTGCAGTCACACAGAATATTTAATTTGTATTTAATTCAGATAAACAAATAATTGAAATAAATTTTAGTCAGACGACAAGATTCAAATAATTACAATCTGAGTAGCAGTAGTAAAATCGAGATATAGTCAGACCATCATATAATTTGCGTTTAATTTAGTTAACTAAGTAATAGAAACAAGTGTTAGCGAGACAGCAGGATTAAAATAATTACAATTTGGTATCAGTAGGAAACTCGAGTTTTAGTCTTAAATATAATTAAATTTGTGTTTAATTGAGTCAAATAAATAGTAGAAACAAATTTTAGTACAGGATTTATGATGTGCACAATTCTAAATGTACTATTAGTAGTAAAATCGAGTTTTAGTCATACAACGTATTTTATTTGGGTTTAATTTGATTAAGTTAGTAGTAAAAGTAAGTTTTAGTCAGACAATATAATTCAAATAATTACAATTTTGTGTATAAGTAGTAAAATCGGTATATAATCAGACCAATTATATAATTAGTATTTAATTGTTTCATAAGTAGTAGAAATAAATGTTTGTCAGACAGCATGATTCAAAGTTAATTACAATTTGATGTCAGTAGTAAAATCGTGTTCCTATTTCTGTATAATTGAGGCAAAAAAGTAGTAGAAACAAATTCTAGTCTGAAGACATGATTTAAATGTTAAATGATCAATTTTAAGTTTTATAAAATTTAAATGTGGAATGAATTTAATTAGAAATTTTAATGAACTTAGATTTTTGAAAAATTTTAATAATTCAAAATCTTCTAAAATTAGTTAAATTTATTGTAAACAAATATATTTCATTAATTATTTAAAATAATGGATTTAAAGAAGAATTTCCGTTAAAAACACTAAAAAAAATTGAATTTTAAAGAAGTTACAAATAATTGCAGAAATTCAATTATTTTCAAAAGTAATAAAATTCTTATCACAAAATTCAATTATGTTCAAAATTTACAAAAAAATCTCGACAAAATCCCAATTATTATCTTTATAAACAAAAAAATTCTTCTTCAAAATTCAATTATTTTCAAAAATTTTAATAAAATTCTAGTCAAAATTTCAATTATATTCAAAAATTTTCCTCATTTCAATGATTTTCAATATCTCCTATTTTAATAAAATTACCCAAAAAAATTCAATTATTTAAAAATAATTTTAATAAAATTGTACGCAAACATTTAATTATTTTCATGAATAATAAAAATTTCCCAGAAATTCGAATATTTACAAATTTTTTATAAGTTTCTTCTGAATAATTCAATTATTTTCATAAATAAAAAATAATAAAACTCATCGCAGAATTTCAATCATTTTTATTTTTTAATGCAATTTTAATCAAATTCCTTGAAAAATGTAACTATTCTAAAAAATTTTATTAAAATTCGTCTAAAGAATTTAATTATTTAAAAATTTGTTAATATTTGTTAATTCTTTATAAGAATTAAGTTTTAAGAAACATTCAATTATTCAATAAATAATTTACTTTTGCATTTAAATAATTTAATTCTCGTAGAATTTTCTAATAAAAATTGATTTGAAAATGAATTTTATTTTAAATTTTAGATAATTTCTGAAATTATTAAAAATAATCAATTTTAAGAATAATTTTAGTTTAAAATTCTGGAAAGTAATAATTGAATTAAAATGATAGAGATAATTTTAAAGAAGTTACACTAACAATATTTTTATAATATAAAATAATGGTTTTAACACTCGATTTTCTTTCATTATTATAAAACATAAAGAAATCGATTAATCCGAGTCGAAGACTCGGAGTAATCGTTATCTTTATCTATTATAACAATATTTTTAAAGTTAATTAATTTCAAAAAGGTTTGAATTTGAAATTTTTGAAAATCTTAATTCCTATGGAAAAATAATAATTAAATATTTAAAATAGAAATTATTGTTTTCGAATAATTTTAGAATTAAAGATATTCGTACATAAATTTAACAGACCACTTTTTTCAATAAAATTTTTTTTTATTTCTAAGAAGTCAAAAATTTATAGTTTCATTTTCAATTACATTTTCTAATTGACAAATATAATTTACAAACATTTTTTCCTTTATTTTAAAAAAACTTTGAATTTTATTAAAACAATTTAAATTAAGAAATGGAATTGATGCAAATTATTTCCTTATGAAAATTGAAAATTTTCTTTAAAAATATTATAAGAAACGGGAATATTTAATGTTTTTCTTCCCAAGTGAAAAAAATCTAGTGTTTTTTATAAATAAAAACGAGAATACTTTGCATAATAATTTTAATCAGTCAAAAGAAATTTGTTACAGAAAAAAGCAAATAACAAACAAAATGGGTATATTTTTTATTTCTAAAAACAGAATTTTTTTTTAAATTTTCTAATTTGTAATATTATTTTATTATAAATCATGAAAAAATACCTGCATATTTTTGATTTGTCCATCAATATTTCTTAAAGAAAAAAAAACAAAAGCGAACATAGAACCTAACTTTAAACTGCGGACAGAATAAATGAAAGAATACGAAGATTAATATAGAATTAATTAATTTCCTACACTTTAATTATTTCAAAATAATAACTTTAAAAAATAATAACTTTAAAATTTTGCAAAACAACGATTACCCTTTAGAATTTATACAAAAAAATATTAAAAAACGAAAACATACATTAATTCATAAAACAATAGATAAAAAACAAACTAACAATGTCGTTAGTATTTATCAACAACTACCTAAAATCTGTATTCCTTTCAATGATATTTATTATCAATTATCTAATATTTTAAATAAATATAATTTACTTTCTATTCCTATTGTGGAAAAAAGCTTAAGCTCTGTAATAAAATTAGGAAAGGACTTGACAAAAAAGTGGGATCGGAATAATATTGTTTATAAATTTAATTGTAATAGTTGCCCTGCAACATATATTGGTGAATCAAAGCGTACTTTGAAAAAAAGAATTAGCGAGCATAAAAACAAAAACCTCGAATCCGTTGTGAACAAACATCAAACTGAATATAATCATTCTTTTAATTTTGACGATGCAGAAATTTTAGATTATGAAACTTCTTATAAAAAACGATTAATTTCTGAGATGATTTATATTAAATGCAATAATTTTACTATTAACAAGAAGGAAGATATACAGTTTCTTAGTAATTCCTATTTTCCTTTGCTTAATAAATTGAAATAATGGTTATAATTCATAATATTTCGATTGCGGGTCATTGACCCCATCGACTGTATATAACGCGAAAATTGTCACCGGCTCAGTCAGTTTGACTAATCACTCGTTTTAATATGTTTGTGATTTGTAAATTTAAATATTTTATTTTTTTGTTGTATTGCGTTTATTTATGTTTTTAATTTATTGACGTGATGTTTATTTATTGACTTTAACTAGGTAAAAATTGTTTTTTATTTTTTGTTTAAATTTAAATTTTCAAAATTTTGTTGTATTAATTTTTTTTTTTAAAAAAATTTTTCTATTAAAGTGACCTGATGATGGTGGCGAACCTGACCACCGAAACGTCGTCTATTTTATAAAAAAGTAAAAGAGTGTTTTTCTTTTACCTTTTATATACGTCTTCCAAAAATCGAAAAAATTAATTTATTAAACTTTAAAAAATAATTATTAATTTTCAAATATTTTGAAAATCTTTTTTTTATATTATTTTCACGATAAACGTACATTTATGTCCACCTACCAAAAAAAACTGTAAATTTCTTCATTCAAAAATTACAAAGTCAAATTTTTTATCCCTCCCGAAAATAAGCTCAGAAAAAAGAAATGCGAAGAAAAAAATTGAGGAATGCAGTGACTATCGGGCCGGGTCTTAAGAAACTCGCCCCGAGCATTCTAGAGAGTAAACCACAAGGAGGAAAATATCTCTCCCACGTTGGAAATTCACGGAAGTTGGAAAGTTGTTGAAATTCGGGGTGTAGCGGTAGTTACCGGGG